AAAAAAAAAGAAAAGGGAGGGGGGAGGAGGAGCAAATAGGAATAATGGAGATCTCTAGGAAAATGAGAAGGAGCAAATCAGGATGCCAAGCTGTAGATCTGTTTTATGTTTCTCTAATGAATAACATACCCTCCTCAAAGTTAGGGGCAGACATTCTCCCCTCTCCAAAGAATTAGAGTAAGAATAGGGGAAGACAAAGAGGAGCATGATTGAAACAGCTTTTAGTAAGAAGAGTAGCCAAATAAACTGAAGCTTAGCCTGGAAAATACATGATTGGAAGTAGGATGGGTAAGAGGAGGGATTATGATAGTAATCTGCCACCATGGGAATATGAAGCAATTCTTTCCTGTTTATTTTGTCACCCAAATACAGCTAGAATTAGAGGGCATCGAGTGGTACCCCAGCAAAGATGGTAACCGCTGACAGAGGAGGTGTGAAAACATGACCTCTTGGTTCCCCAGAACCCTATTGGGTCTATGACATCCTTTGAGGCATTTCGGAGGTTTGCTGCATGTGTGCTTTTTAGGCTACTTCCTGCAGTACGTCATTGCACCTATGTCTTGTGCTGGAGGAGGAGGAGGTGAGGAGTCAGACCATATCTACCCTTTCAATGCCATTCATAATTTTATAGAAGAATAGATATTCTTCCAGAGTCATCTCTCTTCCAGTCTGAAATGCCTAGTCCTGCTCAGTCATTCCTGACAGACAACCTCCTCAGTTCCTTTGGATCATTGTTGTTACCCATCTCCCAGCCTTTCTTATGAGACTGTATGAAAAATTTAGTCTTTAAGAGTGAAAACCTTCCACTTGCATAGAGCATTCTATCATTAGGTAGCTTCCTGCACGTTTTACAAAGGACAGCACTATCATTGTTTCCCCTTGAAAGATGGGTTAACAAGAGGGACAGAATGCATGAATTAACCTAGGTGGCCATGAGAGCAGATGCTTTGGAATATATTATCTGAAAACAGTGAGGCTTGGAAGAGGGGGTTACTCTACAGTGATAATCTGTTCTGGATATTGTGCACGGTTTGGATTTCTACATCTCAAAGTGTGTAGTTGAACCAGAAGAGCTTATTAGAGGAGCAGTGTAAGTGATCAGAGGCACAAAGTGGCTTCTATACAAGAGCAACTGTGTAATCAAGGATTAATAATCCTGGAAAGGTGAAGACAGGGAGGATGTGGAATTCCATAGATTCAGGAATGCTGTGGATAATGTGCATACAGGTCTAGTGTTTGTGGTCTGTTTCAGTACAAGAACTTGACATACTGAAGCTGGTGAGTAACAGAATTGAAAGAGGCGGTATGTGATGGAAAGTCTTTTCAAAAGAAGTGAAGGGTTTCTGTTGAATCTGAGGGATGCCTAAGCACGTGGGAGGGAAATCCTTTGAAGGTTCCTAAGTACAGAGAAACCACATCCAGCTTCACAATTCTCATGAGCTGGAGAGAGTTGGAGGCTAGGAGAGCATGCCTAGGAAATACTGTATGTCTTATAATACTGTTACTTGAGCATTGGCATATTGATACTTTGTTTGGTAAACTGCAAACAAAAGTCACATATTTGTAAGTAAGAGGATGCGGTTATATGCTGGTTTTTGGCACCACAAGCTCCTGTAAGAGGGTAAGACCTGAGACCTGATTATGTAGCTAGGATAATGCTTCTGAAACTGTACTGATGACTGTCCAAATGGCAAAGCTGTTCTGTGTGTCTTTCTGTTTGTCCTTTGCAAGAATACCAAACAGGAGAGTTTGTCCGAACGCCTCTTCTACTAGAAACAAGCACACTTGCGTAGTGATCCTCATGCCATGCATTGGTGCAGAAAGGGCTAGTTTACCCCATAGTACGTTATGATGGTTTCTAGCTTGTGATTGCTAATAATGTTGTTGCTAGTGCTGGAGATAAGAGTTCAAGAAGTCTTTGCTGAATTTGAGACCTTCAGAGGTAGCAGGGGTCTGTCTAGTAGCTTTCGAGACTTCTGCTGACAAGTAAGACAGTCCCCATCCTAACAGATTTTCATTGTTCAGTTATTTAACTCCAACATAATCTTTGCATGAATAGAATTTCTTGTGTGTTTTATATAATAACCTTTTATATAATTAGTATCTGCAATAATTTTTTCCTTTGAAAAGTGATTCATGTCATCTTGCAGATAGGAAAGACATAAAGCATTATTCTGCAGTCATACAAGAAGCCCTATTCATTCACAGTTTGTATTGTGAAGCCAGTCCCATATCCTCGGGGTTGGAACTGGTTTTGTGGCAGCAGTCCTATTTACAGAATCTTTATACAGTATATCTGAACTGGGGGCTGTTCTAGAGCCCCAACTGGAATGAAATGCAGGCTGAAAAGAACGAAGTACGAATGTTTTTTCATGCAGTCAGTCTTTCCATTGTTGCTATTCATAACTAGTAGGTATTAGTCAGCAACTGAAAATCACAACAAAAGTCCATTCAAGCTAAGCTTGGGTTCAGGTTCCCCAGATGGTAACAGGAATACTCTCAGCTTAGGTTTTGTCTTGACTAGGTTTACATGCTGGATCATGTTTGGTGGATCACTGGAAAATAAAGCTACAATCTGTGCATGTGCTACCTTGGTCAAGCCAGGGGAAAAATAAGGAAAATAGTTTCTACTCTGTATCTATATGTATTTGTGCTGCCTATACAATAATAGGGTTTGGTTGGGGGGGCTTTGTAGTTCTTCTCTGTGTGTTTTTGTTGGGTTTTTTGGTCTTGCATAGTTGGAATGAAATACTCCAGCACCTTGAATAACCTTAGGGAGAAAATTACCCTTGGAGTTGTATAAAAAAGGAGATAGTGATTCTAATACCTTATTTCTCTAATTAAGGAATAACTTAATCAAGATGTATTTATTTCCCAAATTAGGTGTAAACCCAGACTGTTCTCTCCTGAAGACTACTAGTCTCTCCTTGCTGTGTGTGAGATGGAAGGAGCTCAGAGAAAATCCCACGCATTTTCAGAAGCAATATTAATTCTTCATCAGATCTTTTGTCCTGAAATACCCTACTTTCTCTAAATATTATTTAACTTTGATTTCAGGAAATGCCAGAAGGTTTGTTTGTAATTGATGAAGGCTCAGAAAAGGAAAAGCAGAAGACCTCTTACCCTGAATGTGTTAGAAGGCACTGTCAGGGAGTTGGTGGATCATTTAGACTTTTTGGAGGCTTAGAAGTATGGGTTTTCCTGTCTGAACAAAGCCCATTAAGTCATGTAAGATGAAAACATTGGGGAACCAACAGTACTTTTTCTTAACTGAGGCTCTGATTCAGCAGAGCATTTAGCACACCCCATAGTGAAGCCTGAGAGTCAGTGGCTGCAGGGTGTGGAGTCTTATTACCTGGGTTGATGCCTGATGGTAGAAGCACCCCGGGGTTTAAAAACGATTCTGTTTATGCTCTTTGTGCCCAGCACCCTGACTCACTGCTGTGGCTGGGGCACACCTCATAGCTCAGATCATCCCTCTGGAAGGCCCTCCCATGCCTATGGGGCTTTGGGGCAGTGCCAGTGGGCGTAGAGGGGAGCAGGACAGGCACAGAAGTGTACTGAGGAGCTGGCCCTGGCACAACATGCAACTTGGCCTGTGATGTTTGATAGGCAGGTGGCAGCCTGTTACAGATACCAGCGTGGTAGTTGGAGCAGTTAGTTCTTCACCTTGAATGCAAGCGTTTCAGTGCTTTATATAATCTAAACAAATAGGGAAGGTTTCTTTGCAGTGTGGAAATCTACCTAATTGTGATGAGCACACATGGCACACTACAAAGTCCATTGAATACTCTTGTCACTGCTGCTGAATTGCAAATTAAGACTTTAAAAATATGTAAAATGTGGAAGTTCAGCAGTCATCGGCTATCCTCAGTTCTTAATTACAACAGCACCAAACTCAGGAACTTCTCTTTTGTGTGATACATTTGTACAGCCTTATGAGCTAGGATAGGTGGGATATAACGTGCACGTAGGGCATTCCTTTCATCGGGTGCAGGTCTGGCCTTTCACTTGGTGCTAGATATTTACCTTTAAAAGCCACAAAATAAACCCATGTGATAATATGACTTAGCTGCGAGATAAGCATGTTTGATTAAGTGGTTTTCTGTTTGTACAGGAATATAGAGGATGCTCAGAATTTCATTGGGGTATTCTGATTATTGAAGTATTAAACACAGATGAAGCAATTACTAAAATATAAGCGTCTTAAACCTAGGATTTTCTATCTTTTTGTAACAAAGTTAAGCAGCTTTTGTGTTTTCTGGTGTACATCTAACTGATGAAGGGAAATGCAACTCAAAATGGCTGTGCTAAGTGTAAAACAGTCAATTCCTAGTTTTCACAGGCTTAACCTTTTTGCAAATGTTGCTTTCTGTTCTTGATGTCTACACAAAAAAGTGTAAAGTATGCTGCTATTCATGGGTTCTGAGAGAAAGGAAAAACAGTTATTCCTCCTTAAAATACTTTGCCATGGTCCCAGAGACCCTGGTGAAAGGCTAATGGAAGCCCATGTGCCCTTTGCTAAAGGCCATGCATTCTTAGGGGCATTCATCTACTTTGCTCCAGGCTGTTTGCAGCTTTTTATAATCCAGAGAATTTGGAAATCCTGAAAATACTTTTCTCCACTGCTCTTTGCCTTATCTTTAGAGCCTTGGAAAATTGAAGTCAGAAATTCATGTGATCCAAATGTTTTGCTCCATTAGAATTCAAGGTAATGTTTTCTTCAGTCTGTGGAGGAGAAAAAGCAAGTCTGAAAGAAATTAATGAGTGGTTAAAATAGAGCTGTTAAAATGGCAACACGCAGACAGCCTGTGTATAAATATAGGCTAGCTCCTCAGCAGTGTTCTTATATGGTAGATCTGAGTGAAGGAAAAATATCAGCCTACTCTTACTCTGTACAAGCTTGTGTGTTGGTTGTTACAGGCTGGTGCCATATGCTTGGTAGTAGACAAGGCTGCATATTACATGGAAATCATAATGACACCTTTTTTCTGTTGCAGGGACCTACCTTACCAGTGTGAGAGGGGAATCTCGGAAGCATACTGTGGATTTTTTGTCTGTACATGCTACTTGATCTATCTTTTATTGACCCACGCAAAAGTAGAGTCAAACAAAAATCATTGTCACTTCTGCCTAAGAACTGGCCGAATTTTATGACACCTGCTGGAGAAGCTTCCTGGACCATTAGAAATAGAGCAGCTTGTGCTGCATCTCTGGTCAGCAAAGCTTTATGCATGGAGTACAAAAATCAAGTTGCCTTACATTAAACCGTATGCAAGTTGCACTAATTGTCATAACTGTACTGCTGATACCACTCCAGACTTGGCATTTCCAAGTTTCTCATGTAGTTTGAGTGTTTCCAACTGACATTGGAATGTTTTTATCAAATCTGGTGTGGCTGTGAAAAGTTTATGTGTGGGGTGAACTTCTTCCTGTTAAGTTCATGGTAAATTTTGAAGCCTCACTTCCAAGTGTGATCTGTGCTATGGCAGCAACCTACAGGCTTATGGTCACTTCTGTGAACTGCTACAGCAGCGTGGTGATAGACCAGCACTTTCGGCACACTGTGCATTACTGCACAGGGACTTGCCAAGTGTTTAAGCAAGGGGTTACATGCATAGTTGCCCACCACAGTGTCTGCGCAGAGCTCAGTACCCAAGATACCAACCAAGACCATAAAATTCCTGTTCCTGAAAATGGACTTGCCTTGCCTGGAAATGAGGACTTTCACCAAATCCTCCCAAATAATCTAAGAATCAAAAAGGGGTCTTCAGTGCAAGCCTCCGGCAGTTTGAAAGACATTACTGGTGAGGCGATAAACCTTGCCAGTGGTAAAATAAAGGAATTCTCCTTTGAAAAGCTCAAAAACTCTTCCAGCCACGTGGCCTACAGAAAGGGAAGGAAGGTTCGCTCAGAATCCTTCAGCAGACGTTCATTTGATTTTGACTTGATTTGTGGGCATTTTGGCAACGATGAGAACTGCCCTCCATGTGGATTTTTGCAGAGTCCCTCACCTGTGGAGAAATGGCAGGAAAGCAGTGATGCTCCAGAAGTTACCATGAATAATCCTGTGGTTACCTTCTCGCCTCATTCCTTCTCTGAAGAAAACTTCATTACCCAGATTTTGGAAAAACACAAGCTAGATGGTGGTTCTGGTGGAGATATCAAGGTGTGCTTAGACATCTTGCTCAAGTGCTCAGAGGATCTGAAAAAGTGCACAGACATAATAAAACATTGCATCAAAAAGAAATCTGCAGACAGTGTTAGTGGAGGGAACAGCAATGACCCCCTGGCCAGTTCAGAAATGATATATATGAACCTGATGACAAGATTTTCTTCATACCTGAAAAAGCTACCTTTTGAGCTCAAGCACCCAGGACACAAGGAAGCTAGTGACTTAGCAGATCTGGTTAACTGTTTTCATGGCTTGCAGCAAACTCCCTTTCCCCCAGTATTTGGAGATGAGCAGCCACCTAGGTATGAAGATATTATTCAGCAGCCATCCTCAAGTGCACTTTCTCTCAGACCAGGTGGTCAGTGTGAGGTGACAAGCACCTCTCAGTCCATCCCAGCAAGTACTGTGACGTTTACCTCAAACTCACTTCATAGCATCCCACAGGAGAACAGTGAGAGAGCTGTGAAAGATGGTTGTGCTCTACCTCAGTTACCAGCCACAAGCCCTTCTGACTGCACATCCTCCGCTGAGGCTCTGTACATTGAGGAGGAGTATGATGGGGAAAGAACATTAGGGAAGACAAAGGCAGAGCAGAAAGGGGGCTGGGAGAGTTTAGAGCTCAGCTACCAGCTAGCTGGTGGTTCAGATCTAGCTGCCAATGCTAAAGCAGAATGTGCCAGCATGGGAGATGCTGAGCTTTCACACCCCTCTGAGAAAATCACTCATTTAAAACCAGCTTCAGATTCTGTATTGTGTGGTTCCCAAGCTGATGTGTCCAAAGGAGAACAGATGTGCAGTAAGATAGACAAGGATGAGATAGACAAACTGCTGCTGGACTTGGAGTGCTTCTCACAGAAAATGGAGCGTACTTTGAGGGAACCTTCTAAAAAGGAGAGTGAACCTGCCCATTTCCAGATGTTTGGCTGGCAGGGTAGGCAGGTACTACCTTTGTCTCTTGAACCTAAAAGTAAACCAGTTGACCCTGCTTCCCCTTTGTCAAAAATCATGGAAACCAATGGACATAAAATGGAAGAGGACGATAAAGCCCTCTTACTGCGTATCCTGGGAAGCATTGAGGACTTTGCCCAGGAGCTTGTGGAATTCCAGACAGGCAGGGGAAGCTTATCCAAGGAGCGGGAAGTGATGCAAATTCTTCAGGAAACTTTAACGACTTCTTCACAGTCCCTCCTAGCAGGGCAAAAATGCTGTGCTGGGATTGTCTCCAGAGACTCTGTCCCAGCTTCAATTCAGCAGGCCCCAGAAGTAATTAAGGTAAGAGAACCAAACCTTTGATGGGGTAGTGAGTAAAACAAACATGGGAAACATGTAGGGGCACACAGTTACCACTGTTAAATGATTCATTGTGCTTGGGATGCTGTAGTGTGGAATAACATGCTCAACCTGGCAGAAATGGAGCCTTTATTTAAATACAAATAAAAAAAGGAAATGAAACCCCCTAAGCAAACAAAGTATGCCATGACATGGTTTTACCCTTGAGCTTGTTCCTTTCCTGCTGGTAATCCTGTAGGCTGTTTGCTTGTGATTTAAATGGGTCCTATATAATAGCAAGTAGAAACTATTCCAGCTAGCTACTTTCTTCCTGGGAGCAGATACTGGATTAATGAGAACTGAATATTCTACCTCTGCCCTTCCCTGTCTCTGGGCAGGCCTTTGTTGTTCTCCTCATTTCTACTTCTAAGGAGAGAGATCCTCCATAGCACAAAGGTCAGAATCTAGGAGGATTTAATATACCTCTCCCTGTCCCTAGTGCATGTAGTCATCGTGGAGTCTGCTTTGCTTGTATCTCTCAAATAATGAGTAGCTTTTCCCAGGAAAAAGGGTCTTAATGGGAGCCTACTTTAGAGGGAAGCCACGGGTGTTTGTCCATCTTTTAATGCTTTTTATCTGACAAGTGCCAAGTTTTCAACACAACTTGGTGTCAAACTTCCTTCCAGGTGAACAGAAAGTATAGAGAGGGCTTCAGTTTCCAAAATTCACCTTTCATACAGGCACTTAAAAAGTGCCAAGGTTGGAAGTGTACTTTCACAGGTGCTTCCAGGGGAGCATGATGTATGTGTCTGCAAAACTGTCTGCTTTTCTGAAAATACAGGAGTTTGGTGCAATTTTGAAAGGCTGGAGTGTGTCCGACCCAAGATGACCACTGAGATCTTTTTAGACTGGGTTTTCTGAGTGTTTCTGATGTTTCTCTGCACATCTTTGCTTACAGAAAATGGTGAGCATAAGCTTGTCTGATATCTCCAGCAAGGGAAAAAGTCTTTTTCCCTTGAAGAGTGTAGAATTAAGAACCTGCAAAAGCTCTAAAGTGATCTCTTATAATAGCTATTCTTGCCTTGAATAATAATTTAGAATATTTTCTAACTTGTGAACTTCAAATAAAAATGTTTGACAGCGTGGCAGTGAGTTTGTGGCAGTTTTTCTGGAATTCTTGAAAGCTGGATGCATTTACACTGTTAAATAGCTTATCAATCTGGTCCCTTGCCAGCTTCTGTTTCCCTAATCGCCCACCTAGCCTGTGTGTTAGTTTGCTCCCAGCCTGCCTTCTTTGGACATAAAACATGCACCCATGCTACAGGAGCTCTTCTTTTCTGTGCAGCAGCACAAGCCTTGCTTTGTGTAGATGCCTAGAACCAAAGATCATAAGAGAAAATAACTCCCTTGAGGACCCAGAGGAGCTGGAGGGCGCCTGGGCTGAGCACTGTGCAGCATGGATGCAGCTGGTAAGCTTTGGAGGGAGTTAGCCCTTGGCAGAGTGGACAAAAGTCATCTGAACTGCTGCCTCTATACTTATTCTGAGGTTTGCTGTCATTTATAGTACAGATGTGGCCACACATCTGGCTGTGGTCACAAGGCCCTCTCTAGGTATAGCATCTAGGCAATATGCCCATGTTCCTCGATAACTCTGGATCTGCCGTGGAGCTCCATATGGATTCTGATTCAGTATTGCACATCTGTGCTTGAGTAAATAATATGTAAAGTATTTGTTGTATTTTATTAGGGCTCATAAAACTCTTATCAAATGGTTGCATGCACAAGCAAAACCCCAGAGATCCAGTGCCAATGAAAATGCAGTCCAGCTTTCATTTATGAAGGCTGTGACAGTTTTAATATGCCTCAAATCCTAAACGGTAAAAAAAGAGAGGGAGAGCTGCTTCAAACAGGACTGTTTTCTGGCTCAGTTGGCCTACTTATGCTGAAATCTGTGCTAATGTGTATCAGCAATAGACTTTATCATAAAACAAATTATGATTTTCCACAGAGAACAATAGAATTGCCTCTTCATTTTTTAAAGCCAAAATATTTAGAAACTCGGAAATGAATACTCAAGAAGTCCATCAACTTTACAGAGCACATAATGAATGCATCATGCTTCTTTCAGGCAGGCCAGGAAGTGTTACATACTTTGAGACTGTCCAACATTTCCCATTCTGAGGTTCAGTTTTCCATTGCTTATCTCTAAACCTCCAACTATTTGTTTTAACATTTCCTGTTCTGTGTGCCTGTCTTAAGCTGATTATTTTAATGTGTTGGTTTTGAAAGAAATAGTTGAGTAAAAACAGTTCAGTTGTCTAGTAGAGGCTAGCAAAGAGCCCAAGTGTTTATCTGTAGCTTTGTCTCTAGATAGAAAGGCAGTAAGGAGTCCTGGGTGGACTGGCAGGTGTGAGGGAGATAGGAAAAACTAGAACCAGTGAGTAGTGAGGAAGGTGGAGATGGGGCTGTTGGGATCATGAGACCTGAACTGCTGGAGTGCTAGTGTCAGGGTTTGGGGTCTTTTGGTTTTATTCTGTTTGGGGTTTGGTTGGTTGTTTTGGGGGTTCTTTTGGAAGGCAAAGAGTGCTACCTTTGGGGTAAACTGTTGTCTTACATAAAGTCCTTTGAAAAGTCAGTGGTAGATGGTTTTGACTTTAGCCTCTGTGTGCCCTTCGTCTACTGCCTGTACAGGATGGCTGATTTGACAAAGTATTTAAATCAGGTAATGTTTGCGGAATACTCTGAACTCTAGTGAAAATACCCTAGAAAAGTCTGTAAGGAACTACCCTGTTTGAGTAGTACAGGGCTCTGATGCAAGTCCTGCTCATGCATTTTATTTTAAGAGCTGTTAGATAAAGTTTGTAAATAACTTAGCAGAGACCAGGACCAGAGTTTGATACAAAAAGAGAGCTCTCTTTTTGTCTTTCTTCTGTTGAGTATATCTTCTCAAGAGATGTAGTAGTGAGATGGTGTAGTGAGCCAGAAAGCAGTCCTGCTTCCCATTTCTGTCTTCCCCCATGCCTCTACCTGCTGTTGCATGGTTCTGAATCTTTATGCCAACTCTGATACTTTGTGCAAGATAGAAATTATAGGTAGGTTTGTTTTCTGCCAGATTAGTAAATGGAATTGCTCACAGAGGTCAAATGGGTGATACAACCGTTTCTGGACAGAGAGGGTAGGTCTGAGAGCAGAGGGTTTACAGTTTGCAGGGTTGATAGATGGTATCAAACCATTTTGTCTAACTGCACTGTATCTGACTGAGATAGTAGAGCCGCAAGTCAAGTATCCAAGAGACCATTGCCTGCTGCCATGTTTCCTCTGAGCTGGCTCTAGGTAGCATCTGTCTAGTCCTGCCTCTCCTTAATGGCTGAGGTGGGTATTGCTGGGATCCTCAGAAGTGTTCTTAACTCACCGTGCTCTAGAACACTGTCCTGAGGCCAGGCACCTTCATTTTTTTTTTTTGTCAAAATGTCTATATTGCATGCTTAAACAGGTGGCGTGCATATGGCTCTGAGTGGAATTGAGTTTCGTAATCATATAAAGCTGAAGTTGACCTAGCAGCTTCATAATTCTGCCCCTTCAAAATGTTACTTCATAATTCTGTGTAACTTTTCATTCAGCAAATCTAATTATATGATTATGAAGGATCTTGTGTGGGGCAATTGACTCTAAAAAGTGGCTTCTATAACATCAGTGTGACTTCAGCTTTTTCAGGAAATAATCACATTTTCTCAAAATGCATCCAAAATATGATGTAAAACCACTTGTGGGAAATCAGCTTTCATCTCATGTATTACAAATTGTTTTCATCAAATATTTGTATCTGTCAAGCTTGCACACAGTCTGCATTCTTTTCAAACATCAATTATTCATTAATCTAAACCAAATAGTAAAAAAGGTGCTTTTTTTTTTTTTTTCTGCTTGGTAATAATTATTAAAAGAAATGAAAATAGGAAGTGAATCTTAGATCAAAGATGCTAGAGAAAAAAAAACAAAATGTTAAATTGGATGACTTGGGGAGATGCTCATGACGTGGGCACCTTGTAGTCAGGGACAGATACAGTCTCTGCTTGTGTGAAACTGATTTATCTTGAAGTAGACATCTAAAGGCAGGTGAAACAGTCTAGTGGTAGACATTGAGGTTTTTCAGCTTCATTGACTCTAAAACCAATAAAACACCACAATGTTGCTGGAAAAGTTTAACCAGTTTAGGAAGCAGTTGAAGCTGGTGCCCTTCTCAGCTGTGCAGAGTGCATTGAATTGTTGCAGCCAGGCTTTGGGGTACAGCTAAGTCCTGTGATGATCAAATCATACAAGTATTTTGGGACTAAGCCTCCAGCTTTAGGTGCAGGTGAGATTCTATGTTCTGGTGGCTAATGAAGGCAGTCTGACACCTCTTTAGATTTGACACCTCTAACCTTCACATTTTAAACTGGGTCAATTATAGTGAAAAGGAATTTCTTAAGTTTGACTTGGTTTCTTCAGTTGATCCATAGGCTGCTGGTATCAGACTTTTCTGCTGTGGATTTTGTCCAGTTGACTTTGAAACTGTTGATACAAGGTTCTTTTACAGTGAATTTCTCACAGTATTGTATATTTATGTTTTTATCTGTACCCACCTTATGTGTTTTGAAGGTAGGAAGTACTGTGCTAGGAACCTGCTGTAGTGCAAAACACTGGCATTCAGACACAGCAAGCCTTGCCTGCAATTTACTTGTCTTTTCCTAGGTTATCAGTACAAAAACCCCCAGACTTCCAGGATCTTTTGTGACTGGTTAATCTGTGAGTGTCAAGTATGTGGCTGATTTTTGGGGGGGTATTTTTAAGTAGTAGTTACATCTCTTTCATGCATCCATCTTTTAAAGTCCTCTGTAGCTGGTCTGGATGAAGCTGTAGGTACCAGAGGTTCTTCAGACAGCATTTCCTCTGCAGTCTGTAAAAGGAGTAGCAGTCTGTAGCTGGGTTAGAGTTCAGTTAAAGACAAAGTAAGTACACTTGCCACA